TCACAGAACATGTGCTGCTGTTTATTACAAGCTTTCTGTAGTGTGATATATACAACACCAACACACACACACACACACAATCTGCAGAATGAAGCAGTGTGAACGTACCGAACGCTCCCGCATAGAGGAGCAGGAGAAGAGGAGCAGTCTTCATGAGGACACGTCTGATTCTGGGACCACCAGCATGTGGAATACACTGGAACACACACACACACACACACACACACACACACACACACACACACACACACACACACACACACACACACACACACACACAGGTCAGTTTTATTTCAACAGCATCCCATGAGTGCTGAGCGACGTGCTCCACACACAGATCAACATACAAGCACCATAAACAGAATCACCATTCCACCTGGAGGAAACCCACGCGAACAGAGGGAGAACATGCAAACTCCACACAGAAACGCCAGCTGACCCAGCCGAGACTCAAACCAGCGACCTTCTTGCTATGAGGCGACAGCACTACCAACTGCGCCACTGCTTCGCCCTATAATAATATAATATAATATTTCCATGTCATGTCTGTTTAAAACATCACCGCTGCTGTACAGTACAGAGTGCAGCGTGTCATTACACAACATCTCTAACACTGATCTAGATTTATTTATATATTTGTGAAATCTGCTGTTATAGAGAGCTGTGGGCATCTACACACACACACACACACACACACTCCTCAACATGACTGTCATTCCACAGAGAGTATGTAAAAACAGCAGTGGTCGAACCGGTCGCACCGCATGATCACATTCAGCCTCGCAAAACACAACAATTCCAGAGGATGCACACACGCACGCACGCACACACACACACACACACACACACACACACACATAATAAGATAAAACATGATGATATAACATAATGAAATAATGAAAATAATTAAAAAATAAATGAATAAAACAAAGCAGAATAAAACATGAACCACAAGAAACAACAACATTAGAAAGAGCAATACAAGATCAACAACATCCACAAGAAAACAGACAAGTAAAGGTTTTAAAGATGCCTACAATATAATATAATAATATAATATAATATAATAATATAATATAATATAATATAATATAATATAATATAATATAATATAATATAATATAATATAATATAATATAATATAATATAATATAATAATATAATATAATATAATATAATATAATATAATATAATATAATATAATATAATATAATATAATATAATATAATAATATAATATAATATAATATAATATAATATAATATAATATAATAAAATATAATATAATATAATATAATATAACATAATA